TAAGAGTAGTTAATTAGTATTTTTCTTTAATAAACACACATATTTTATCTTATTTTCTTCTTGCTCTATTGAGAGAGTATTTTGTTAAGAAATAAATTTGCGTATATTATCTTATTGAGAAGATAATCATATTTTTGTTAAGAAGACGTATAAATTATTTTATTGAAAAGATAATTATAATTCGTCAGTTATAAATCTTACACATATTACCTTATTCAGAAAATAGTTAGTCATATAACCCTTTTGGACCTATAAAAGTAAACAATTGCCATGAACACAGTCACTATTACTATTTTAAAATAATTACATACGCATAATCTTAAAATGGTAACAATATATTCTAATTATAAATTATTAATAATTTATTCATATTTTATATTCATTTCTTTTCTTATAAATATGATTTGTCTGTTCTGTATTTTTATTTTAGATCTAAATATCTTTAAATAATAAAAATAATTATAAGTTATAAAATTAAAACTATTTATATTATATTTTATCTTATTTACAACTTGATAATAGTGAATATAGTTATTATAAATATCATTCTCTAATATTTTACTACATATAATATATTATATATATTTATACATATATATCTTAGTTTTAATTTATTAAATTTTAAAAAAAATAAATACTAAATAATTTACATAATTCTTAAAAAACATAACTAAATTGATCAAGATTATAAAAGAAAATAATTTCTCTAATTTTAAGTTTTTATCTTATCTTTTAGTAAAATTATCTATTTATTCTGAAGAACTAAATGAAAATATATTTATCTGAATAATAAGTAGTTAATATTTCCTAGAAACTATTAACTACTTAGATTATATTATAATATACTTAGATATGTGTCATGGGTTGTGAAATATAACACAGATTAGGGTGTCATAATTCAAATTTTGTGATATGTGGAAGATATATACTCCATACCCGAATAGGTATTATGATCTAAATTTTTTGACACATGAGAGGTATATATCCCATATCTGAATTAATATCATGTTTTATATATTATAACACATGTGACATATCATATACCAATTTCTTGATTGAGATCAATTTCCATTGCTAGGATATATGTGAACTATCAAATGCTAGTTTGGAAATCATGACTGATTTCTGTCATGGGTAAAAAAAATATACCTGATAATGCATTCAGTCATGTATTGTTATTTGTGGGTCCAATGTGAGGGCTATGTCCAAACCTGGCACATAGTACCTTAGCTTTCTGATTAATTCCTCTATGAGGGCCAGGTTTGAGGTACCTAGTACCAAAATAGTATTTGAAGGATGAGACATGTAGTACTGAATTACTAGCTATTATAATGTACTCAAATATCATCCAAGAATGAGGCACATAGTACTGAATATTATCTGTCATATTGCACTCAAGTATCATCTGAGAATGAGACACGTAGTGCCAAATTGTTAGCAGTTATTTGAAGATCTACCAAAGCATAATTTTATAATATATATATATCTGTAATAATTATGCCTTGGTGGCCCACTTTTTTTACACAAAATATTACTTATCTGATGTACTCAAATATTATTTAAAAATAAGACACATAGTGCCAAATTACTATTTATTATAATGTATTCGAATATTATCCAAGAATAAGGCATGTAGTGCCAAATTATTATTCTTACCTGGTGCTCTACCAAAGCATAATTTTATATATTTTTTATCTATAATAATTATTCCTTGATGGTTCAGTTTTTTTACTTGAAATATTCCTTACCTGATGCCCTACCAAAGCATAATTTATTATTATATATACCTGTAATAATTTTATCTTGATGGGCATAGATTTTTAAGTTATTTCATTACTTTCTTGATTAATCTTTTTTACTTATTATTTTTCATATCAAAAAAAAACTTGGTGGCCCAAAAAATATTACTTATCTGATACACTTAAATATTATTCGAGAATGAGATACATAGTGACAAATTTTTATCTCTTATTAGCTTTATAATATGTATTTAAATATTTAAACTTTTCTATTATCTCTATATGGTTGTCAATTAATCCAATATATATATTTTCAAACTTGATATCCTCTAGAATCTTTCTTTTTTCTACTACTTTTTATAGTATAGCCATACCAATTATCTGCTATTGCATTAATAAATTTTATTATAGCATTAAGATTGGGAATATCTTTAGCTCAAGATCTAAAATCAAAGAGTAATAATGCATCTTCTTGAATTTTAATAATTTTTTTCTGTGATTGTTTGAATGCTTCAGTTACAGTATTATCAGAAAGAATGTATATATCATTCATATCAATAAAACCTAATAATCAAAAAAGTTCTTGTATAGCTTCTTATTGTTTTATTAAATGTAAATAGTATAAATTAACAGAATTATTACTACATATACTTGATGTATCTCCTTCATCACCAGTATAATACTTGAATTTACTTTCATTTTCAGCCTGCTAATATAAAGTATCAATAATTTTATTCATATTTTGACTAGTTATATAATTAGTATTGTACAAAATTCAATTAAGATACTTTGATAATCTACCATATATCACTTATCCAAAAATGTATCTCAATCAAAATTATGCAATACAAAAATGGTTATTGAATATTTCATATATTTTGTAATGCAACCACTTATATATCAGATTTTCAAGACTGGATCTCACCCTCCTACGATTTACCTTACCTCCTATATTGAAAGCACTTACCCAGAACTTTATTTCGATCAAAATTTCATGGTACAAAAACTCTCTTTATATAATCTAGATATTGAAATATTAATTTTTTATTTGAATTTTTCTGAATACTTATTGTAAGAGGTGACAAAAACCCCCTTACCTGAATATATAACTAGTTGAATATAGCAATCTCTCTTCTTCAGAAATTACTACTTAACTAGATTATATTATTTTGATATCTTATACCTGCTTTGTTGAAAGATTTATAACAATTATGCATATTCAATAATTATTAAAGATTTCTTTTTCAACTCTTTTTTGTGTGGAATAATAGGAATACCCAATTTAGTCTCAAACTTCTGCTTGTAATTCAAGAAATCTGCCTCACTCATACTTTCTCATTTTCTTTTCCAGTAATTATGATTATCTTGCATTTCAAAAGCAATCTTGGTTCTCCATTATTCTAACTTTTCTTTTGACATTTGAAATTTTTGCTGTAAAAGAAGAATAAGAATATCTATATCAAATTTATTTTTGATGAGAAGTTCTGAAGATAAAGAAATTGCTGAAGGCAAATATAAAGTGACTAGGGATTCAGATATTTTTTTCTCAGTTGTACCCACTCTATTAATAGTATTATTAACATAGCATATATCTTGAGTATGGTTCTCTCTATATTTACTTATTTTATTTGAATTGATTGATTAATCTTGAGTTGACATTTCTAAAGATAAAGCTTTTTTATCAATCATATTATTAGATAAGTCAGAAACTTCATGATCTACACATTTTGAAGTAGTATTATTGGTAATAGATATCAAATCAAAAAGTTTCTGAGTTTTATCAATCAATTCTGGCTTATATGGTGGAAGAATTGGAATTATAGGATGATAATTAGGACTATTTAACTTTATAGCCTTTATTCTTTCTATAGTTTCAAATTCAACTCCATCACGTGATACATGATGAATCCAATATGTACTTTTTCATACTTGCTGATCTTTTGGTTCTTCTTTTCTTCATTCACTCTTGATGGTATAACCATATCAATTACCTTGTATTACATTAATAAATTTTATTGTAGCATTAAGATCTGGCATTCCTTTAGCTCTGGTCTTAAAACCAAAGAGTAATAATACATCTTCTCAAATTTTAATAATTTTTTCTCATGATTATTTGAAAACTTTTGTTATATTATTATCAGAAAGAATATTTATGTCATTAATATCAGTGAATCCTAATGATTGAAAAAGATTATGTACTGCTTTCTATTATTTTACTGAATAGAATTTGTACAAATTGACAAAAGATAGATTCATAGAATCATGTGAATCTTCTCATTGCATTTCTTCTTTGATTTTCAGATTTTTTATAGCTTTTGTTGCATTAGAATCTTGTCTTCTAAAATATGCCAGTCTTCTAAAATGTTGTAAAGGTTCAGAATTATTGAATTTTTTCATAAAATTTTTATTACAAAGTTTAATCCAATCATCATTATTCATATTCCAGACTTGAATATCATTCTTGCCACCAATATCACCTGAAGCATATATTCTCCATAAATAATAATGTTGTAAAGTCATATTGTCAGCAAATGATCATTCAAGATTTAGCTTAAGTATTTCAGCTTCATCAGAAGTAATATCAGGTGCATTGGCTATTGATTCTGCATCAGAACCTTTGATCTTTTTCTCAATCTCCTTAATAGTATGAGATACTTCTGTATGAGAAGCTTTGGTACCTTCTGTTAAAATTAATTCAAGTATTGCATCAGTACTAGTAATGAGACTGTATAGAATTTTGGAAAAATATTTGGCAGATAAGTATTTCTAATATTTAACCTCAATATAAGTTTCAACTACTGATGATGAGTTAATAATATAATAATCAGCAATTTTGTCCTATTCATGATATTCTTTTATAGCAGTTGGTAAATCTCCAGGTCTCAAGACAGAGAGTTCAGCACAAATGAGATCATGATTTGGTTCTTTAAAGATACTAGTTTTTTTACTATTATAAAGAGAAATAGTATGATGTGGATAATTATATACTTGATAAAATATTTGTGTAAAAGCTTTAGCATGTACTTCTGTGTTAATATTGCTTATTTCTATAATTACATCAAAATGATTAAAAATTTCAAAGGAAATATCAGCTTCTACAGTACTTATATAAACCATACAATCGAGAGCACTCCAAGTAGCATTGATATTAGTAAAATCCTCTTGATACTGTTTTTCATCCATTTGACCAAAATAAACTCATGATAAAACATGTGAGCCATCTGGTTTTAATAACTTAAAAGCTTGAATAGCTATAGCTCTAGCTTTTTTGTATGCAGTAACTGAAAAGACAACTCGCTTACCTTCTTCAAGTATCTTAAGGCCTTTATGTATAGCCTCTGCTCTTTTATCTGGATCATAAAGAATTTTTATAAACTTATCTTTATGTGGCTGATACTGTAACCAATTAGCTTATTTGTGTGGTATAGTAGATGTGGTGTAGCATATGACACAGTTGCAGCACATGGTGCAGTAATCACTGATCACTACTAAATCAGGTGAATAAGTAATTTATATTAATTAATCTTATTTATAATTAACTCTATTTATAACTTATA